GTTTTTGGGAAAAGTATCTGCCACATCCCTTGTCTGAATAACCATAGTTTGTCAGTTATTCTTGCAAAAAAAAAAAAAAAAAAAAAAAAGGTGGTTCAGTTCACAACTCAAATGTGCTTTTCCTGGGCACAACCACTGCCCTTCAGTAACCGAAGTGCTTCCCATTTCTTCACACACAATATTAAAAACATGTGTCCTCAAGCAGACAGAGTTAATGTTTCTTGCCTTATTAGGAAAATTCTTATATGACACTAGTGTTTTTCTGGATTTAATTTGAAATTCCTGCCTTGATTCATGCTGACATTAGCAATTTTACCCACGAGGGCTTATCTTTTCCATTGTGTTGACATTGGTAGAAAAGTAACATCTTGGTGTTATTAGAGTTTGCACATCCAATATACCCTAAAAAGGCTCTCAAGGAACCACATAATTCCATGGCCCACATTTTGTGAACTCAGCTTCAAAGGGAAATGTACACAGTATCAGGAACCTAGCATGGCAGTACAGTGATGCGTGCTCTACTCAACTGTCTGCACTCCTGCCACTCCCCACCAGACCAGCAGGTGTGGCCAGTGGAGGAGCCAAATCCTCCAGTATCACCCACAAGGATTCCCTTCACTCCAAACTTCGGTGCACTAGCTGGAGAGCTTGAAAACATGCTAATGCCCATGTCCACCCCAGAGGTTGTGATTGGTCTGGGGGATACGGCCTGGGCACTGGGATATTTGAGCTCCCAGGTGATTCAAAGGTTTGGTACAGTTCGCGAACCACTGTCTACCCTAGAGAACCTCCAAGTTTCCTTTAAAGCAATGGTTCTTCAAGCTTTACCCTAAATCAGAATCACCTGCCTAGGTTATTAAAACACAGCTCCCATCCCCCAGAAATTCTGATTCTGGACCCTAGAATTTGCATTTTTATCAAGTTTCCAGCTTCCAGGTGAAGATGGTACCACTAGTCTTGGGACCACACTTGGACCTCCCTGAACTGTTTCCCAGCTTTATGTTGTTCTCTGGAAAATGTTATATTAGTCATGTAGCTTCCATCTATGCCAAAGCTGAAAGCCTCTAAAAATAAGGCCCTTCTATTGTTAATTACCAAAATACTCATTAAATACTCATTAAATTTGCTATCTGCAATGCATGTTATTCAACTTCAATAACTAAAATATATAATTCTCATGTAAATGTGTACCAATTGGGTGCGAATTACAATTTGTATTAAGATTTGCACAAATGCAATTCCAAAATTTCCACGTGAAAGCAGCAAGACTCATTTGCTTTAAAAGTTGCAAGGTAACAAATTTAAAAATGACTTAAATGACATTTATGGAGCATTGCCTTAAAAACAACAACAAAACAGTACAGAAATGTCAAACTTGAAGCAAATTATATTTGAGCTGAAATGCCCTCTATGCCTGAACCACTTTGTTAAAAGTGATTTTTTTAAGAAAGGTTTCCGATCTGTCTATCCTTGGCCATGTCAACAATGGAAATCACACCTCACTTATCTGTCCAGTGAATCTAAAGATCTAAAGCTTGGGCAGAGAAAAACAGAACAGCACTTGTTTATGTAACCAATAACCTTTCACCTTGTGCATTATTTTTCTCTTTTTCTCATACAAGCAGACAGACAAGATAAGAACAAACATCTTTTCAAACTTGAACCAAGTGGGAATGGGGAGAGAGAGATCAGAGAAGGAGTCTACACACGGAATGCTTCTCAGCTCCACACTGGAAGCACCAGGGGGTGTTTTCAAAATTCTCAGGCTGCACCAAGAACAATTAAATTAGTTTCTCTGGTGCAGGACCCAGGCAATAGTTTTTTAAAGTGTCCCTGTCACCCTGAGTGAAACGTTTGCCTAGCAATGTGAAGACCACAGTTCTTTAGACAAAGTTCAGACCTCTAGCAGTCTCCTTCAGAAAGCAAAGAAAGAGCTGAGATTAAAATAAGCAGCTGAAAGATAAAAGTGTTACAAGTAGTAGTGGCTTATGAGGAAAAATGCTTATGCAATACTTTGACCTTTCATTCTTCAATAACATAACCAATTTGAATCTCTGTGGCTTTAACCAAGATGCTAGTGTCCTATGAAGATTAGGCTAAAGTTTTTCTAAGTGAGATTTGTACTTTGATATATTTTAATTATTATCAAGCCTCTGCTCTGTGCCCAGGCACTAGGGGGTCCAAGACAGAAATCTCTATCCACCCAAAGTCTCTAGATGTATTAGAGATATATATTAGAGTCTACAAAATGTCAGCACAATATAATCCTTGTGGAGGAGACTATAGGAGCACCTAAACCAGGATTGGGAATCAGAGAAAGTAAAAATTTGGCAGAAAATTGGAACATGTCTAGGCATTGGTGAGACAAAGAGGCCTGAATAGGTTGGGGAAGAAGGTTACTTTAGTGAGAAGGATGAGTACATACAAAGGGCTACCAGATGGAAACAGGAGGGAGCAGGGGGACAGAGAAAGAATAAATGAATGGGGCTGGTCAAATTAAGAAAGGTGAAACGGAGAGCTTCCCCAGCATGTTTGGGGGACTGACTTGTAGACAAAAACAGTGAAGACCCACTCAAGTGGAGCATGGGGACTGTGGAGGAGTTCCTGTGGCTATCGCCTCAGTGTGGTAAGCAGAGCTAGAGACTGGTGAGGTGTAGGCAGGAGGGTCAGTTTTGGAAGCTAAGAGGATCCCAAGACAGAACCAAGAGAGAGAATCCAGGAAAGTAAAGCTGATGAAAGTAAGGCAGGAGAGGGACTTTCACATTCCCCTTCTGTTCACAGACACTCGAATGAAACCTACAGTTGTAGGCAAGAGTCAGGGTTGCTCTCCCTGTTTTATAGGTAAGCAGGGCGAGAGACGGGGGAACAAGCCAGCATGAGAGTTTTAGTCTCTCATCTCTATTTACATGTTCACACACACAAATGTTCTGGAGGTGGTATGTTATAATTGCTTTCTATTGATATAAAGAGCCGAAGCCGGTTTGGCTCAGTGGTAGAGCGTCGGTCTGCGGACTGAAGGGTCCCAGTTTCGATTCTGGTCAAGGGCATGTACATTGGTTGCGGGCGCATCCCCGGTGAGGGGTGTGCAAGAGGCAGCTGGTTGATGTGGAGGCTGGTCGATGTTTCTCTCTCATCAACGTTTCTAGCTCTCTAACTCTCTCCCTTTCTCTCTGTAAAAAAAATCAATAAAAAGTATATTTAAAAAAATGAATAAAGAAACGTTAATATTGTTTGAAATGCTGGCACAGGGTGCCATTTTCTCTTCAATATATATTTTCATGTAAATGAAAGTGGTTTACAAAGTTGTAGGTGAACTAGAAACATAAGAGGTGACAGAAGAGTCCTAAGCAAGGAGAAATCTTCAATTTGTCAATTTAATTATCAAAGCAAAACAAATTTCATCAGATAATTTCTGTGCAAATCTTTGATCACACATAGCCTACCTATCTGAAAATAGATGAGAAGCAAGATCAGAAAGCTAGTTATCACCAGGCAAACATTTACTGCAACTAATAATCACTTAGCATTTATGGCCATGCGCTGTTTCCATTAAATGACCGAAGAAATAAAAGAAACAGATCATCAATACATGTTGCACACAGTGAAGTGTTGATCATCTAGACCTTAAGTTGCTTGCAGCATTCTGACCGGCCCTTAATACAATTAATTTATAGTTTAAAACTGGGTCACTTAATGGGAGGCTTGTTAAAACTTTCAAGAAATAGTCACTTTTGTCTGTTTGGACTTCTCTCCACCCTCGCTTGGTTTCACAATGACTCCAAAAGGCTCAGATTTCCATACCTCTGTGGCCACCCCGCTATTCCATTAAAAATCCACTTGTGCAGAGAAACTGTTAATGTGATTTGCAAGGTGGAGTTAAAATGTTGTCTTTGTTCACTAGCTTTCAGTGAACTGTTCTACAATTGTTTCCAATTACCTAAACCATTTCTAAAATACTCAGCCTCATTTTTAAGTTAGAACCATTTAGCTTCAGGAAAGCTTTAGTAAAAGTTTTAGCAAACAGTACATTAAGTGATTCATTTTAAAAATCCTAAATTAATTGTATTAAGGGACAGTCAAAATGCAGCAAGCAGCTAAAACCAGTTTGGCACCGTGGACAGAGCGTTGGCCTGCAGACTGAAAGGTCCCAGGTTTGATTCCGGTCACATCCCTAGTAGGGGGTGTGCAGGAGGCAGCTGACTGATGTTTCTTATCGATGTTTCTAACTCTCTATCCCTCTCTCTTCCTCTAAAAAAAAATCAATAAAATATATTTTAAAAAATGCAGCAAGCAATTTAAGGTCTACGTGTACAACATGAAATTAATATAGTATTGTATATCAACTGTGATTCAAAAACACACTCTTTAAAAAACAAATTACTGCCGAAACCAATTTGGCTCAGTGGTAGAACGTCGGTCTGAAGATTGAAGGTCTCGGGTTCGATTCCAGTCAAGGGCATGTACATTGGTTGCGGGCACATCCCTGGTAGGGGGTGTGCAAGAGGCAGCTGGTCGATGTTTCTCTCATCGACGTTTCTAGCTCTCTATCTCTTTCCCTTCCTCTCTGTAAAAAATCAATAAAAATATATTTTAAAATTTTCTTAAAAATTACTGAAAATGATGAAATATATCAAATAATATTTTAATCCCAAAGAAAAAAAAGAGCTGCTTGGAATTCAATTTAATTTTGTTCTATATGGTCAAGTAGCCATAAAAACTGGAAGCAAAATGGCATGGTGTTCAAGATTCTCAAGTGGCCACTCTTCATTAAAGATGTCATGGTAAAAGAACAAGCTATGCTGACAGATGAGGAAATTTCAGGTCATGATCAGAAAATGTTCCCAAATGTTGAACAGGCAAATGACGGATGCAAAAAATGGATCCCAAAAGGAAACATCAGCAGCAATAAAATCACAGAGCAGGGTAGGAAACTCTATTATTACTCCTTGATAGCACCTCATGGCAGCAAATTTACCTTCTTTCCATAACTTCTCACTTACCAACTTAAATGTCAAGGTTTTTAAAGCTTTGGGGTCATCAACAATCTTCTGTAAATTAGCAGCCACTGAAAAATACAAACATGGAGAAAGTGTTCAGATTATTTCCCGTAACATCGGGTTTTCACATCAGTGATTCAGAAAATTTGACTAATGACGCAATTAGCTGCAAAATTATTTTTCACAGACATTGTGAAATCCATATAAGTGGCCAAATTACTCTCATGTATTTTCTACACCAACTTATATCTTCGGTAGATCAGAATTAATAATGTACAGCTGACTTAGAATTAACTGTACACTGACCTCACGTTCAGAAAATGAAATGAGAAATGACAGCAGCGTTCCCACCCCTTGGTTTTCCTCACCACCCATCACTAAGACACGTCGGAGCCAGGAGAGGGCAGCACAGAACACGGGGGAGAGGTAGTCCAGCCGACACCGTTTCTTTGGAAATAAAGGCCAACTCCTGTCCTGTAAATTCACTCAAATTTCTGCGGCCATTTTTGTCAAAGCCACAAAATGCAGTAGATAACCTGTATGATTTGGGCATATGTTTTAATGTTTTCAGAGCACAGTGAACACTTCCCAAGTCCCGTGAACAGGGTCGAGCACTCGAGGCTGTCAGCGTGACGCTCCATAGTGAAGATATGTTTCCACTATCAGCTGGATTCATCAGGGACCTGCCCCGTGCTCCATGGTGTCATGACATATTTGATAGTCTAGGAGAGGAGTGGGCCTTTTCCGCTCCCTCCGCTGGCTTAGGGTACAGGTTATGAACAGTATTATCAAAGGAAATGATGACAGAGGTTTCATGCCTTCCTCTTTCCATACCCAAACGTTAACATGCAAAGCACTGAAAGTCAGGTGAGGGCTGCTGGTTAGGAAAGGAGCAGTTACTATCCAAGAAATCGGGGAAGAGTTTTTTCATTATCAAAATGATCGGCCGCTTCACTAATTAGGTTATCTGAAAGTTATCGGAATATTTTAAGATAAAAACATTTAAGATACATAATAAATAAACGTATAAATATTTTAAGAAAAGTGTTTCAAGTATAATGCTTTCAAGTAGAAAGAAATGTGCAAATTGTATCTTTTACTGAGGTTAACTGAAAACCTAGATACATAGATTTTATGCAAATCAGTTTATTTCATTAAATCCACGGATGGGGAACCGTTTTACTGCTAAGCCATTTGGATGTTTATAACATCATTTGGGGGCCATACAAAATTATCCACTTAAAAACTAGCCTGCTCTATTTGGTCAAACATTTAACTCACCACTCATGCCCTGGCAGGGCCAGACCAAATGATTTCGTGGGCCTTATACGGCCTATGGGCTGGACGTTCCCCACCAGTAATTAATCTATCAGCTGCGAAAGGAAAAACTGAAAATTATATATAGCAGTCCCCCCTTGTCCACAGGGGATGCCTAAAACTGTGGATAGCACAGACCCTAAACAGTCTATGTTTTTCTCTCTATATATACATACATATATACTTTTTCACTTAAAGGAAGCACTTTGCAGTTTCTGTTTTGCATTCATGAATCGCCATCATTACTATTGTTGCGCTTTGAGGCCATTATTAAGCAAAATAAGGATTACCTGAACAAAGGCACTGTGATACTGCCACAGTCACTATGACAACCAGGATGGCTACTAAGTGACTAACAGGCAGAGAACGTATATAGAGTGGAGGAGCTGGACAGGATTCATATCTGGGTCGGATCGGCGCTGTATCGTGTGAAACTTTATAGTACTCGGAAGAGTGCAATTTAAAATGCAACTAATTATTTCTGGAGTCGTCATTTAATATTTTCAGACTGTGGTTGACCATGGTAACAAACTGCAGAAAGCAAAACCAGGGAGAAGGGGGACTACTGTAGTTTGCTGGCCTATTTCTCTTCCTAAACCACAATGACAAGCATCATTTTATCTCCTTCCATGGCCCTCCTCACACTTCCATTCTGAGCGATCTGCAAAGTTTCATTTATGGTAGCACCCCACTCATCCTCCTCTCCTCTTTCCTTTGTTCACACAAATTCACACACACACATCAGGTAGATCCCGGGCCACCCGACCTGTATAGTTATCATCACCAAACTTTTGTCCTCCTCACAAGCTTCTGACAGAGTTCAGATACTAAAGCCATCTGGTAATCCAAGCCAGAAACACGAGTTCCTGAGGGAAAGCCTTGCCCACCAACGCCAGTACTGACCACAACAGGGCATCGTGTATGCAAACTGCAGCAGCTTTTCCTGACAACACCAGAGTGTTTTAAATTGCTCCTTGGATTTGGGCTGATTTCACGAGTGGCCATAAAGTCTTTATGGGAATCCCAGTTCTTTCCTGAAAGTCTCTCAGTTGCTATGGATGATTTACTGCCTTGTTCTGGGTCATCTATTTCCAGTCTGTTCTCTCAAGCTGCCAAAAGCAGGCTGTCCTGCACTCATCACGCCCCTCTCTGCTGTGCTCCGTGCGTCCTCGGGCCCGTTTCCAAGGACCATGGCTGAGCAAGTTGTAGACTGGAGGGCAAGACGGAGTGGCCAGCATCTTGAACCATCATCCCAGAAAAACCACGCACCCCAACTGTGAACCTCAGGGACATTAGAAATTCAAATTCTGTCTTCAGCTCAAAGCAAAAATAGCAAAACTGGCCTCTTACCTGATTACTTATCCCAGCTGCTAGGCGTATTCTCAATTCAGTTGATTCTAATTTGTTGTAAAGTGCTATAAAACACCTCCATTTAACTGACATCACATAAAATTCAGGGTGATGCTAATTTCTCTCCTAGCAGCAATGCTCATTAAAAAGATGGGTGTCACTGTTTTCTCCCTTCTCCTGACTATGCACCTGGGTTTCAGCAATAAAGACGCGCTCCTTACCTGGAACGTGAGCTGAGAAGGAAGGGCTGGGTAGATAGGACTGGTTGTTAAGAGTTCCTCAAGCATGTGCTCACAGCACCGAACTTCGTGTCTTAAGGTATTCTAGTTTCCAAAAAATACGGGGCTTCTGAGCCTGCTTCCTCAGTGGCTCAACTCATTTCCAACCCCTCATGGCTTTCCCAGGGTGTCTAACAGGCTCTGTAATCTTGAGGTCACCCCATCCCTCCTCCCAGCCCTCTCTCTTCAGTCACTAGGGCTTTCTTTCTCTCTTGGCCACATCAGACCCAGGTAACACTCACAAAGGCTCCAGGGATGGTGGCCTTCCAGTCCTACCACTGGGGCTATACATGATTCCTTCATGGGCAAGCTTTTTTTCGTGTTCCTGAGTCATGCTTTAGACTTGAATGCCTGTCAGGGCTACACAGTTCTGTTTGCTCTTTTAGATAACATTTGGTTTGAAGTATGGTAAGTACTCTGCTTTATGAAACTGTAGTAATATCATTAACAGCCATATGAGAAAATGCTGCTGCTTAATACTTCCCCAAATGTAAACACAGGTAGAAGAGCTGATGTTTCTCTGACAAACGGTGTCAGGCATTCATTCTCCTGACAGTTTCCTCTAGAAAACCCTGGCACTACTCAAACTCCCCACATCCTGACAGTTAGAAAAACAGCAGTCATATAAAGACTATTTTACTATGTCTGTATTCTGATTAGTCAAAAGATAAATGTTTCTCCCCATATACCAGTAAACTTCACAACAACCTCATATAGTGCTGATGTTCTGGCGGCTGTGAGTTGACTAATTTGAGATATCCCCAACCAAAACTGTGTGGAAAAGCACACCAGTGAACACCGAGTCTGATGTGCTCCCCTAGTGAGAAATCTCTGAGATAACACAAGAGCTTAGACTTGGGTTACCCGACAAGGTGATGCCACAATATTGTTTTCTCAAAGGTATACCTTGAACATCTGCTCTGTCTTGCTTAGAGAGGTGGCATGAAAGCACACAGAAAGAAAAATGGGTGACAGAAGAGAATCCAAGCTCTGAGTAAGGAGACATGAGGGTGGGTTTCTCATGGATACTGCTTTAACACTGATGCAAAATTATAGCTTACTAACAATAATAAAAGATTTACCCTGTTATTTTCCCTAAATTCCTGGGCTCTTCTATTTATGAGATGAGTATCAGGTGATTTTTTCAACAGAAACTATGCAGGCCTATGAGAGTGGCAAGAAATTTTCAAAGTGATGAATAGCAAGAACCTACAGCCAAGATTACTCTACCCAGCAAAGGTATCATTCAGAATTGAAGGGCAGATAAAGAGCTTCACAGATAAGAAAAAGCTAAAGGAGTTCATCACCACCAAACCAGTATTATATAAAATGCTGAAAGGTATTCATTAAAAAGAGGAAGAAGAAAAAAGTAAAGATAAAAATTATGATCGACAAATACATATCTATTAACAAGGGAATCTAAAAGTCAAGTGAATTAAAAGTCTGAGGAACAGAATAAACTGGTGAATATAACAGAATCGGGGCATAGAATGGGAATGGATTGATAATTATTGGGGGGAAGGGGTGTGGTGGTGTAGGAAGAGACTGGACAAAAATCATACACTTATGGATGAGGACAGTGGTGGTGGTGGGGGGGAGGTAAGAGCAGAGGGTGGAGTGGGAACCTGGTAGAGGGGAGCTATGGGGAGAAAAAAGGAGAAACAATTGTAATAATCTGAACAATAAAGATTTATTAAATAAAAAAAAGTAAAAAATATAAAATGTGGGTATTAATAGTGCCTACCTGGTAGAATTGTTTCAAGAACTGAGCTCATGGGGAGGGGTGGGGCGGGAAGTGAGAGATCAATCAAAAAAAAGACTTGTATGCATGCATATAAGCATAACCAATGGACACAGACAGTAGAGGGGTGAGGGCTGGGGAGAGGTCAATGGGGAGAAAAGGAGACATATATAATACTTTAAACAATAAAGAATTTAAATGAAAACTGAGCTAATACACACAAAGGGCTTATAACAATGCTTAATATAATAAATGTTAGCTTATTATCTCTACCCTGGACTACTACATATATTATATTAGCTGGTTTCCTTGTGTTAGTTCTTAACTCCTCCTCATGAGCCCCTTTTCTCACACTCACTGGAGTTACTCAGAGAATCTAAAT